GGGGGGGGGGGGGGGGGGGGGGTTCAGGCCCCCCCAGTAACATGTCTGCACTGGACAAGTGTGGGGGGAGGATCACGGCTCTGGGAGCAGGGTTTTAGAGATACTGCAGGGACTGACAGGACTCGTACAGAGAGGGGCCAGGTATCAGGGAGGATGGGAGGAAGGAGGAGGCTGGGAACTCCAAGGAAAGGAAGTGGTGGGAAGGAGTTGAGGTGCATGTACACCAATGCTAGGAGCATGGGTAATAAGCAGGAAGAGCTTGAAGCTCTCCTGGGAATAGGAGGGTATGACCTGGTGGGAATCACAGAAACTTGGTGGGATGAAAGGCAATCTGGAATGTGAACACAGAAGTGTACCACCTTTTTAGAAAGGACAGGAAGGGAAAGAGAGGTGGGGGCATGGCTTTATACGTCAGGGAAGGGATAGGATGCAGTGAGATAGAATGCAGCACAGATGGGGATTTGGTAGAGGCAGTCTGGGTGAAACTTCGGGGTTTTGACAGGGAAAGAGACCTGACAGTGGGGGTATGTTATCACCCTCCAGGTCAACTTGAGACCCTGGATGATGTCCTGACAGACCAGATTCTAAGGATATCTCAGGGGAGAGACACAGTAATTATGGGAGATTTCAGTCTCCCAGATATTACTTGGGAGACTCACTCGGTGGTGACAGCCAGGTCACGTTGCTTCCTAGAAGCTATAGAGGGAGGGTTTTTCACACAGAGGGTCTGAGAGGCGGCGAGGGGCGGAAACATCCTTGACTTGGTCTTGACCAATAGGGAGGAGCTGATCGATGAAGTACAGATTAGGAGAGCTCTGGATGTGAGTGATCACTCCATCCTTTGCTTTGAGATCAGGGGACTGGGGACATGCAGCAGGTCAAGCACTAGAAGCTGGGACTTCAAGAGGGCCAACTTTGGCCAACTAAAGGCCAGAGTGGGGAAAGTCTCCTGGGATAGGTCACTGGAAGGTAAGCGAGTTGAGGATGGGGGGATAGCACTCAAAAGGGAGGTTTTGGAGGCGCAAGCCTTGACGACACCTCTAGTCAGTATGGTGGGGAGGCGGAGGAGAATGCCACCATGGATGCGAAAGGAGGTGGTTAAAAGGATTAGACGAAAGAGGAACCTCCACAGGAAATGGGTACTGGGGCAAACAGACAAAAAGGTATACCGGGAGCAGGCAGTTGCAGAAGGATTCTTCGCAAGGCTAAGGCTGATTACGAGCTGAGACTTGCCAAGAATATCAAGAGCAACAAAAAGGACTTATTTCAGCATGTAAATAGGAAGAAGAAGGGGAGACAAGTGGTGGGACCACTAAATAAGGAGGAAGGAGATCCAGTGACTGATATGAGGGAACAGGCACAGATGCTAAATGACTATTTTGCCTCTGTGTTCTCCCCAAAGCAGGACGGGGGAAATCCACATAGGAGATTAGATGAGGCTGGGGATTTAGGGGCACAGATTAGAGTCAACCCCCCTTGAAGTCGAGGGGCTCCTCAGGGCATTGGACATTACAGCGGCGCCAGGCCCTGACAGGTTACACCCGAGAGTACTTATAGAGTTGGCAGGGGTTCTCTCATGCCCGCTGGCCTCCATTTTTGAGACCTCGTGGAGAACAGGTGAAGTTCCAGAGGACTGGAGGGTGGCATCAGTGGCCCAATTTTCAAAAAGGGTAGTAGAAAGGACATGGGGAATTATAGACCGGTTAGCCTTACATCCATTGTAGGAAAAACAATGGAAAGGCTCATAAGAGAGAGAGATCTAGTGATGCTAGATAGGGAAGGGAGGCTGATGGCCACACAACACGGCTTCCGCAAAACAGGTCCTGCCAGACAAACTTTGTGGAATTCTATGACAAGGTTTCGAGATGGCTAGATGGAGGGCATGCAGTGGATGTGGTTTACCTGGATTTCAGCAAGGCCTTTGACAAAGTGCCCCATGATATCCTGGTGGAGAAACTGAGGAGTTTTGGATACACCAAAGCACTGTCTGGTGGATTAGGGCATGGTTGACTGACCGAAAGCAGAAGGTAACCAATAGTGGGGAATCATTGGGATGGCAGCCAGTAACAAGTGGGGTCCCCCAGGGCTCTGTCCTGGGGCTGATCCTGTTTAATCTTTTCATTAACGATATGGAAGAAGGGGTGAACAGTCTGCTGATCAAATTCGCAGACGACACTAAAACTGGAGCAGTGGCCACAACTGAGAAGCAGGTATTCCCGATCCAAAAGGATCTGGACAGACTATGGAAGTGGGCAGGAGACAACAGGATGGCGTTCAAGGTGGATAAGTGCAAGGTCTTGCACTTGGGGAATAGGAATAGGTGTCGTAAGTACAGGTTAGGTGACAAGTGGCTGGAGAGCAGCATTTGTGAAAGGGACCTCGGGGTACTAGTTGACTGCAGGCTAAACATGAGTCAGCAGTGTGATGCGGTGGTCAAGAGGGCGAACGCCACCCTTGGTTGCATAGCCAGAAGTGTGGCTTCTAGATGAAGAGAGGTAATACTACCACTCTACATGACTCTAGTGCGCCCGCAACTGGAGTACTGTGTTCAGTTTTGGGCCCCTCATTACAGAAAGGATATAGGCAGGTTGGAGTCAGTGCAGCATAGGGCCACAAGGTTGGTGGCCAGTTTGCAGAGGATGGGGTATGAGGCGAGAATGAGGGAACTGGGTCTCTTCAGCCTGGTAAAGAGGAGACTCAGAGGGGATATGTTGGCGACATACAGGTATGTGAGGGGATGTCACATGGAGATGGGTAGAGACCTGTTCTCCCCTGCAGAGAAAGGCAGGACACGCTCCAGTGGAGCAAAGCTCAGGGAGCCAAGGTTCCATTTGGATGCCATGAAGCACTTCCTGACAGTCAGGACCCCGAGGGTGTGGAATGGGCTTTCATGAGAGGTCGTTGAGGCCCCATCAGTGCGTGTGTTCAATGATAGGCTGGACGTCCACATGGTGGGCATGTTGTAAGCGGAGCCGGCTGGTGCTGGAGGTCAGACTAGATGGCCCGGGAAACCCTTTCTGACTCGCTCTGTTTCTATGTTTCTATCTCCGTGTGACATCCCTTCACATACCTGTATGTCGACAGCTCATCAGGGACTCAACAAACAATGCTGGTGTGCAGCTTAATATTTCATTGGTGGGCAAGCAGCTATGACTAAATAAATAAGAGTTCAAT